AATGGCTTTTTTGAAAAGAGCATCAATGATGAAAGAGCTTTTAGGTTTTGTTGATATTGAAAGTCCTATGACATATAAAATGGAAATTTCTTTAAAAGTATTTGTAAATAAATTACATCGTAATCCATGCATTTAATTATATTATAAGCAATAAGAAAAATTACCGTTAAAAGATGTAACTTTCAGTTGTTTTGCAACAATGACCGACTTTTTAACCAACTTATCTGAAAGAAGGTTACATTCTTTTTCGACGAAAGCATCCCACATAGTCAAAACCACTACCTCAAACCTAAAAAAAAAGTGATTAAAAATATTTGGCTATATAAAAATTAAAGTGGTGAAGCGATAAATGGACTATAGATTTGTTGTCAACAAGAATGATATCTTGAACATAAGATTGAGATCCAAAACGTGTCTGAATTAATCTTTCTGGTCGTATATCAATAGCTGCTCCAAGGATAGCTAAAATAAAAAAAGAAATGATTAGAAATTATATAGATATAAATATAGATAAGAATAATGGTAAAAGAAAAAAATTAGGAATTACAAATGTCTGTGTTTGAATCCATATATTCTTTCAACTGATGGAAAGGAGTAAATATGTACGTAGAAGATAAAAGGTGAGTGCAGTCTTCTCAAATTTCCTATATTATGATTGTTCCTAAAATAGTCCATTGAAATTTGCCACCAGAATCTCTAAACTGAGGTGGTAAATATCTTACATTTGCACTAGATATTATGTATGCTATGGACAGAAGCAAATGGTCTTCCAAGACCACTATGTTTGAATCAAAAATTGTAGCTTGTACCTTGTGTCCCTTTAAAATCACAATTAAATTTACAAATAAGTAGTAGATGAAATGCAATTAAAACATGAAGTAAATATGTGGTAAAGTTCAAAAGTGAAAAATATACTTCTGTGTCAATTAGGGTCATTTTCAAGATTTGGAAGCACCATTTCGAGCTACTTTTGGAGCGCTTTTTTCAGCCACAATGACTTTGGCTGTCCAATTATTTTGCCCTCGATAGATAATTGGGATTAATCTGTAGTTTTCAGCCATCATTTTTTTTCTTCTTCTCTGCATATAATGATTTATACACATAAAAATGAAAATGAAAATAAGTAGAGAACGTAAGTATGGAGAACATAATTTAATTTAATTCGAAGAAAAAATTATATATATATATATATAGTTGAAGAAATATATTTAAAAATTGACGATGATGAAGAAAGGTATGGTTTTGACAGATGATAAGTATGGTTTCTTCAATAAGTACCATATGAAAATTAGGAGTTAGTGGATTTGGGTATGGAAATAATTTGATTTGACATGTTTTTGGAATAAAATGTGGAGAACGGTTTGATCGAAAGATATGCTAGCAGAAAAAATCAGTGTAATTGCAAGATTTTGCTTGAACTATTTATAAATTTTGTTCTACCCATTTAATAAAATTTATTTGAAATAAATAAGGAATTGTAATATTTTTATTTTAAAAAGTTTACATAGTAATTAAAAAATTATTAAAAATTTTCAATATACATTTAATGTGATACCTACTTTTTCACCAAACTTTTTTAACTTCTTCTATCATTTCCATTTCACTTTCATGTGGTTATTTTCAAATTTTCATCAGAAAGATCAAGAAGTCAAAAAGCTTTGAGAGAAAAAGAAAAAAAAGGTATGTTTACATATTTTTATTTTTGTTAGATCTGTGTAGTTAAAAATGTTTTTGATGATAAAAGTGTGTAAATTTATGAAATAGAGTAGTAGTGTAGCAGATGGAGTAGTTTTGTGGCTGTAGAAAAGAGCAGATCTGCTTCCTAGACAGAGTATCGGGAGTAGATTTTGCTCCTGGAATCAAAATCTGCTCTGTGTGCACACGAAGCCTGCAGATCTGCTTCCTGGACAGAGTATTGGGAGTAGATTTTGCTCCTGGAAGCAAAATCGCGCACGGAGCATACGCATTTTGCTCCGTGTGCACGACAACTCATAAGATGGACCATTATTCAAATTCCAAATTAACCTCAAATCATCCTAAACCGTTATAATGCCAATAACATAACAGAAAATAGTACCTGATTAACAACAAATCCTTTGAGCATGCTTAAGAAATCATCGTGTCTTTCTTTATCTAGTCTCTCAAGTTGATTTTTGTTGTTTTCTTGCATATGATCCATTACTTATACTTGTTTGTCTCCTCTATTAATTTTTTTTCCCATAATTTGTAGATATCTTTAGAGTATGCACTATCTCCAAATCAGTGGTTTTCTGCTACAATCAGCCAATACTCAAATCATCAGTACCTTAAAGATTTTGTGGAATTTATACATGCTGATAAACAAGCAAACTTGTTATGTAGTAATTTTAGTGGATTCACTTATGGATTTGTTTACAGAGGAGAAGAGGAACAATTTAACAGCAAATTAGTTCACGAATTTATAATGAGAATTGTGAACTGTGGTAAGAGAAAAGAAATTTGGGTGAGATTAGATAACAATTTGGCTAGATTCGATATGCAAGAATTCTGTCTTATTATTGGTCTACCTTGTCACGAACTACCCATGAATATTGATTTTAATAGCGATCGACTTAGAAATGAATATTTTAACGGTAGTAGAAGGATCGACATGAAAATGCTTTCTGAAGTATTTCACATGTACGATAATGAAGAAGATAAATTTAAGCTTTGATTGGTTATGTTGGTAGAGTGTATCCTGAAACCAACTAGAAGGTATATTGATTATGAAAGTCTGAGCATTGTTGATAACCTTGAAGAGTTGCTTGCTTATCTATGGGGTCGTAAGTCATATTTTGCTTTGTTAAACTCCTTGCAACAGTCACAACTTGAAAGAGTAGAAAGGACACAACAAAATCCACAAATAGATTATAAATATGCATTGCATAGATATCCTCTTGCATTTCAGGTAATTTTATTCTCTTCTATTACTTATTCTGTATAATTTATTTATTTATACAAAAAAAAATTGTATACATCTAATAGGAATTTTCAATTATGCTATAGTATTTGATTTATGAAGCATTTCCTAAAATCGAAGAAAGATTTGGACGGCGTAGATATAAAAGAGCACAAATTCTACGAATGCATAGATGGAAACCAAAATTCTACTTGACAGAGAAAATAGTCAAACAATTTTTGGCAAATGAAGAGGTATATTTTTGTTATTTATCAATTTGTAATAACATATACATTTAAATATGCAAAAAGGAAATTCAATCATTCTCATATATTTGATATTACAGATTGATGCAATTGCATCACTACAACTAGAAGAACAAGAATTGCATACTTTATGGTATACTACTCTATCATTGTCATTGGACATTCAACGCAGCATATTAGATGCTATTGTGGGGAATAGAAATCTGAATGATGTAGCAGAAGAACAAATCCCAGATGACTTCAATGTGGAGCAAATGCCTCCTCTTGGTAGTTCAAGAACACACTTAAGTGTGGAGCAAATGACTATCCCTAGCAGTTCAAGACCACATGGTTCAGTTGGAGTTCAACCTAGCTCCGCAGCATCTTCTGGTGAGTGCAACTACATAAGTAAAAAAGAAATGGAAGAAATGTTGGCTATATACAACAACAACCTAAGAGAAGAACTGTTGGAAAATCAAAACAACTGTTTCAACAACATAAAAATGGCAAGAAGATTATATTGCTCAGGAATAAAAAAGATAACAAGCTAAATACCAAACAATCCTTGACAATCAACAACAGTTCTTTGAAGAACAACGGAAGTGGCAAGAAAATCATTATCAAAACATTCAATCAGGCATGGAATCTTATGTGGATGTTAGCATGAATTCAGTAAGATCTTACATTGATGAAAAAAAATAAGAGTATGCTAAACGAATTACGTGATTGGGAATTGAATATAAAAGTAATTATAGGTTCCATGTAGCAAGATCTTCCTGCAACTACTTCAATTTTCAGTACTTCAACTCCTAGCAGTTCAATTCCTAGGACTCGACTGATACCATCTTCGACACCTCAACATCAACAACAACAGATTTAGAGTTTTGAAAGATTAAGAAGAGAAAGGAAAAATAAGAGGGAAGATGTACAATCTTCCCCTATAAAATTTTCATTAGAAGACTATCTGATGAAGAGATATACAACAATTAGAGATTGAATCTTGGAACATCCAGCTGGGTAAGAAATTTAATTTTACTTTTTCAGCTTAAATATTATAATTTTATTACGATTTACCTAATGCTAATTTAAGTTAATTACATAGCACATATTGGGAAGATGGATCTGACAATATTTATGGCAGAGATGTATTGAACGATTTATTGGATATAACGAAAGATTTAACCATTGCAGTAAGTATGTTTAGTAATTACAATAAATTTTATTTGATTGTTATATATTTAATTTATGCCTATTTATTTTATTAGAACATTGAAGTGGAGTTAAAACTATTGAGATGACGGATTAATGAAGGTTGTACACTTGTTTCTCAAGAATATGTGATCATGGACTTTGCATTTTAAATTGAATGTGTTCACCAAATGTTTTCGATCATAAACTCTGAAAAAAGAGTTAATAGCAGAGATCAGAGACAGGAAACAATTGATTTACATAGATATGTATATGGTAAATTACCTACAGGTGGTCGTCCATGGTCAGGATGCAACTATCTATTAATCCCATGTTCATATCGAGATAATACATGGTACCTTTTGTTGTTAACATTTGTGAGTGAAAATTCCAAATATACGATTGCAGCAACGATGTTCACACACAAGAAGAAGTTAAAAAGCATGCAATGTCAATAGTTGGTATGGTCCAAACATTATTATTGTTTTCAGCTCCTTTGAGAAGGGATGTGAGAAAATAGAGATATGGAATTGGAGATCATATCTTATTTATCTTGTGCAAACAATGGGTAAACTCTTAAACTGTTTATTATGTACTACAATATTCTAATTAGATCTTAGTATTAATCTAATCTAACATAAACTATTTGTTTACTCCACAGGCCAAATTGCCCACTTTTTGTGGTTAAATTCATAGAATGTTTCATCCTAAAACATCCAATAGAAACTGTTTCACCAGACAGGATGAGCATATATAGAAGGAAAATTGCAACAGATATCTATTTCAACGAATATTTCTTACATCCTGATGAGTATTGATGTCTATATTGTAATGAGTAATTCAAGTAAGCTAACTTCTAGTTTCCAAGGAAACTTATGTAAGAATTAGGCTACGCACTATTTTTAAGGGTTATGCATCTTTATTTTCTTCTCTCCTTTGAATATGTTGTTACATTATTTGAATGAGATGTTGTTCCTTCATCATTTTCTAATGTTACGTGAAAGGAAAAATAAAATTTAGAATAAAAAGCACCTTCAACTAATTATCATCACTGTCACCACTTTATAAACTAACTGTTATCATTTCCTCTAATTGCTATTTTAGTGGATATTCAAAGACTAAAGTCATAAGCTCACAAATGAAATATTGAAATTTATAGTTACACTTATTAATATAATAACCAGCAACAGGGAAAAAAAGGATTTTGTAGATAAATGAAAAAAGCTAAAATTACATATGAAATCAAAGTAGAAAGGCACTTAGAAGCTCGAAAGAAGGGAAAACTCACCTTCAATACGAAATTTATAGTTGCAATTGAATCATTTGTGTTGAATTCAGTAACTTTATATACCCCTATGCATTCTTGAATCTGCATTATAGGAATTTTGCTTCCCACTCAACAGGAAAAACAAAGATAAAATTTGCTTTAATTGTATACTTACTTATCTCTCAAGCAAAAATTGAGAAAATATCGAATAAGTTAGAGCTATACATGTAAGAAGAGAAAAGCTAGAGGAATGCAATAGGATTTATAGATTTGGAGTTCACAACAAATGTAATAATATTTAAAAGGTAAAACATTGCTTGGGAAAGAATCACTTAAACATAAATGAATAATAAAGAAAACTAAACTAAAGATAGAACTTAATTGTAAACAACATTCTTAGTACATTTAGCATGTATTTCATCATCAAGTATTGGTTTGGCAAGAATTTTAATGCATGCACTTGTTTTTGCTCTTGATAATGCAACATATAACTGTCCGTGAGAAAATACCGGTTGTGGAAGATATATTCCAACATAATCTAAAGTTTGTCCCTCAGATTTGTTTATAGTCATTGCAAAACATGGGCGTATTAAAAATTGTGTTCTTTTAAATGGGAATATAGGTTTATCACATTCTAATGGAATAAAGGACATTCTAGGTAAAAATACTTTATTACCATTATACTCTCCAGTAGCAATCTCTGCATGAATGACATTCCGTTCTAAGTCTCTACATATTAATCTTGTTCCATTACGCAGTCCTTCGCAGGATTAATATTTTGGAGTTATATTACAGGATAGTTAATCTTCAATACTAATTCATGCGATGGTATACCATTTGGAGTTAAAGAATTGAAAAAATCTTCTTGCATGCTCTCTCATGTCTTATATAATATTTTATCAAAGCTATAATAAACAATAGCATCACCTGAGAAACGTTCCATAGGAATATTATTGATATCATCAACATGCTCATTTTTTGGTGCTAAAATAACTCGATTCATCATACTTGAAATTTTTTTTTTGAATAGTTAACTATTTCAGGAAATACAATATCAATTAGTTTGTGTAAAGAAATATTGTCTCCTTCATAATCCAAAGTCATAGAAGAACAAAGCCTAATCATACTACAGGAATGCTCATTTTCTGTTCCATTTTCAATTCTAAGTAAATATTTTGAGAAAGGAGGATCTAAGAGTGCTCGCATATCTTGATGTAACTTTATTTTTGTAAAGAGGGGCTATAAATAAGAGTTAACAAGGCTCGATGCAATTATGTCTTCTTTACTCCCTCGTTAAACAACGAGTAAAATCTGGCGAAAATCTCCACCTAAAACAATTACCTTCCCACCAAATGGTAATTCAATGTTAGTTATATCTCTTAACATTTTGTTTAAGGCTTCAACAGCTTGAGAATTCGTCGGAGCTTCATCCCAAATTATCAAGCGTGTCATTCTAAGCAGATCAGCCAGAGCAAATTGTTTACTCACTGAACAAATACTATCACTATGAATATAAAGTGAAATTGTAAACCTTGAATGTGCCTTTCGGCCTCCTAGTAATAAACCTACAACAACTCCTGAAGATGCAGTTGTTAGAACAACCAAACTCCTCGATCTAACAGCTGTAAGCAATCCGCGATACAAAAAAGTTTTTCCTATTCCACTTGGACCATCAATAAAAAACATATCACCAATATCATGAAAAACTTTATCAAGTATTGCATCATAAGCAGCTCTTTGCTCTTAGCTTAACTTATCTGGACAAAGAATATCATATTTAGATATTGACGCTCCTAATTCTTCATTAACCATTCTTTCAAATAGTTCATTCTACTGGAGATTAACATCATAAACACCTAATCCATAATCTTTTAAAGATTTGCCAAAAGACTCCAAGAACGAATTTATAGACTGCAATGTTTTTACTTCTGCATCATATAAACTAAGATTTTTGTTCAAATAATCTTCAAACATAGATTCTTTAAATTGGTGCCACAATCTTTTCGGATCATTGAGACTACAAAGTGCTAAAACAGTAGCAAATAATCGACGCAATGAGTTTGGCATTTGATAAGCACAAGCTTCCTGTAAACACGACCCTACAACTATCATATGCTCTAATCAAACCTTGTAAGACTGCAGCTTCACGAAAAGTTTTTACGAAAATGTCAAGAACGAATTTTAAACCGTCAAAAAAATAAGGGTCCTCTAATGTGGTTCAACAATATTCACAAGTAATATCTTTCACCTTCAGTTGGACTTGTTGACACAATTCTTCCCACAATAGCACCATTTTTTCCTAATATTCCAACATGTACTTTGCCCATCCAAACAAATTGTTCAGAAAATTCTCTGTACAAGAGCTTTCTCTCTGCTTCATTTGTAGCATTCATTGTAAAAAATTGGGTCAATACGATTTTTTGAAAAAAAGGTTGTTTGACAACTGTAACAAGATCATCACTATTTTTATATGTAATAGATTGCTGACATTCGAGATGCAATTGTAATGAAATAGCAGTTGGATACATTTCATAAATGGTAAATCCATAGATTCTCCACATTGCTTTAGGGGGAGAGATCCATCTACCTAACTGGAATTTTTGTATTTCATCTGTATAATGAAATTCGTTGACATTGTTCACAGAGAAACTCACTTTGTCATGTCCTTTATAAACATATTCATATAAATATTTTACAGCTTTTATTGTTGAACATATTTCTATATTAATATGACAGTCATATTTAGCTAATATATAAGAATTATAGGCAACAATCCACTATTACCAGGGAATGCTTTCTAACTTTAACTTTGTTACCATTGTCACGTCTTCTATATTTAGGATAAGAATTTTCATCCAAAAAAGTGTGTGTATTGTATTTATGTAGATAATGACTTCTACATGTCCTACCATTTTGCATACACACATTATTTGGATTTAAAGAACCACAATGACCGTGCATCATTTGTTTAATAACAACGGAATACAAATAAGGATACTTTGCACTATCAGGGATTTCAGCACACACTATCCTGTCTACATTTTCTAGAGAAATAATCTTCGAATCTGATTTAATAATAATTAGAAAGTGGGCATGCGGTAAAACTCTTTTTGGAAACTCTATGACATATATATATGCAGCAACGAGTCTAAATAATTGTTTTTTGAATAAATCTTTTTTTAAATCTTCTAACTTTGCTCTAAAAACCCTTGAAACCAAATCAAGCCTATTTTGAACTTCATCATAATACTTTAATTCTCGCTTTATCTCAGGCCAATTTGAATTGCATGTAATAGTTAAAAAAATATCAGACTTTCCAAATTTTTGAACTAATGACATTGCATCCGTATATCTTTTATTCAAATCTCTGGGACCACCTATGAATGAAGATGGTAAAATAATCCTCTAGTCTACATTTGATCCTCTAGTTTCACCATTTTGCACAGTATCAACAATTCCTTGATAAAGTTCATTATGTATTCCTGCCTGATTATTACGGAAGTAATCTAATCTAGATTATTCAACTTTAACATACATATCAACTACATACTGTTGGAAAAGTCTACTAGCATGTAATAGAATAGAGTTATCTAATGACCTTACCTATATTTTATAACAATAATACTCACGACAAGAGACCTGACATCGTTTGTACTTCTTTTGCAAAACTGAAAATACATTGAACACCAAAAAAATAATGTAATTATAGTTAAAAAATAAAGTACTCCACAATCTAAATCTAAATCTAAAATCTTAAAACAAACTAATTATTCATATTCAAATCTGTCATTTCATCATTCAGCAATTCTTCTGGAGAGTGAACACAATGTGCATCAACCAACGACTATATGCAAGAAATATCATCATGCCTATGCAATTTATTTACCCTTTCAATGCCTTGATGCCAACCATGTTCACCATTAGGAAATAACAAAGGATACCGGAGATGATCATAACATCCAAAATAATAGTGCACTTTATGTTTGCTACTAGAATGAGCATAAATAGATGTGTCACGATTTCCAAAATTTTCTGATATTCCATCATCTACCAAAATAATAGCAACTTGTGATGTTGTTGTAGCGTTGTAGACTCTCTGATCCATATTTAAAGTAGATATAATTTTTATATGATAACTTTGTAAATTAGGAGTAGTAATTAAACTTCTAAAAAATTTTGCGTAAGGATTAATGTGGAAGATGTGAAGTAATTTCTCAACAATTGATTGAGACAATCCATCTGATATTTTCAACCGATTTTGTATCTCATTCTTGGTGTCATAAAAATATAGCTATAAATAAGAAGGTTTAGAATATAATACAAAACTACAATTGTAACTTCTGATATTAGTCCTAAATTCAACCGATTTATCAGAGGAGGATGTAAATAAATCATATAATTCTGGAGGCACATCATTTATCTTTAATCGAATGGTTCCATAAAAAAAACAGAAACTTTTACTTTCTCCTTTAAATTTCTTTGATCCACAGAAATTACAAACTGTTGAAAGAGTTAACAAATAACTTTGGGTTGGAATTTGCTCTAAAATGTGTATATTTGAACTACCTTCTTTCGGTGAAGAAGTAATACCTAACAAACACACATTTAGCAATTAATTCCAATATATAAATCTAAACTCGAAAAAATCAAACAAAAGAATATCTTGTCTCTGTCACATTCTTCTCTGTTCGTTTCTTGACCAATATTTCTTCTGAATACAGAATTATCTACAATATAAATAAAGCAAATATATTTAAAAATATATATAATTAAACCAAAAAACAGAATTTATAAAAATACCTATTCTTTGTGCTTTTCTATCACGAGAGGTCCGCATTTTCAATTGCCCTTTTTGTCGCAATTCTCGTGCTTGGGATTCTCTTGAATTTGTTTATTTTGCCACAGAATCCATCAGAGAAACAACTAAACACTAATAACAATTTTAAGCACTGAAATTAGAATTAAATGATGGCAGTAAAAAGAAGAAAAAGAAAGTTAAGGAAGAAAAAGAAGAAATATTGCCAACATTTACTAAAGAAAAAAATAATGAGAGCCTAAATTCACAGCAAAAAAAACAAAAAAAAAAAGATAGTAATGATAATGTAAGAATAGTTATTTACACTAAATTCAAAAATTTAGAAACACATGCCGAATTAATGATTATTAATATAACAAATTACAGCTTAAATGCTAGACCCAGATGAAATTGTCGACATACACATTCATAGACTTGCACATTCATACTTCTAGAGCATTAGAATCCAAGAATTTAGCCCAAAAAAAAAAACGCACCTTTTAAATTCATTGCAAAAAAAGCAAAAGAAAATAATGATAATGTAAGAATATTTAGAAACACATGCNAATAAAATAAAATAAAATAAAAACGGCACCTTTACAACAAAATATACTGTAAAATAATCACCAAACTACATCACACCCAAACTTTCTATTTTACTATCACACTTTTGAAGTGATTTAACGCTTCCACTTGAAGGAGACATACCCTCTTTTGTCAATTGCGTCACTTGTCAACATTTATTTTGAAGGGTTTATCTAAAACATATTTTTTCAAGTGAAAAATTATTTATTAGAGAATGTGACGTTAAAAATATAAAAAAAAGTTAAATGGTATAAAATCTGTGACTAAAAATGATTTTCCAAGAAAAATGATTATACAAAAATCTTTCCTAAACTAGTTGTGCAAATAAATATTGATGCAGACAAAAGCGAGATGAAACAATAGCATGACATTGCTAATCATAAATTAACAAAAGGAATTCTATTATAAAAGAGAGAAAATAGAAGAAAATAAAGAACAGACAATAGACTTGTGTGTATTTTATTAAGAACTAAAGCTCTGTATTTATAGGGTAAAATCAGGGATACAATAGTAATAATTTTTAGGGCTGTAAGAGTATAATTGTCATTTACCTTTAAACCATAATAAACTTACCTTTTACAACACTCTCTCCCGAATGACACATTACAAAATATCTGCATCGTTAAAATCTTGTTTGAAAAAATATCCAATATGACAAAAAAATAAATGAAGGAAAAAGAGTACAGTTATTTTGTAGTACTAAAAATAGATATTGCCTCATTAAAACCTTACTAGGAAAACCTAGTGGGATAAAACCTAAGCGAAGGAAAAAAAGTACAACTACTCCACCTGATGACTGATGTTGATCACTGAAAATCTTTGAGTCGACGTATTCCAATCTCATGAACTAATTTTTGAATGTAGATGTTAGCAGTGCTTTTGTGAATAAATTGACCACATTGTCACTTTAGCGAATTTGTTGAATATTGATATTGTCATTTTTTTGAAGCTCACGTGTATGAAAGAATTTTGGAGAAATATG